TATCCTCGATCCGTGCGCATTCCCCATCCGATCCTATATTCATCAATTCCTCTCCAATTCTGACAAAAATTTTCTGCCATACCCATCAAATCGAACTCAAACAACTCCTGTGCAATTTGCGAAACACACACATTCATACACAAAATACTTTGACTCCGGATAGGCTTTTTGTCGGCGTGGGCTCAGATGAAGTCATTGATGCCCTTCTCCGCTGCTTCTGCACACCAGGGCATGACCAGATCCTCACCTGCCCGCCAACATATGGCATGTATTCAGTCAGTGCGCAAATAAACGACATCAGCATCGTCAAAGTTCCCCTTGACACTTCCAACAACTTCCGTCTCCGCCCCGAAGCCATCAATGAAGTATTATCGTCCACCCCTTCCATAAAACTGGTGTACATTTGTTCTCCCGGCAATCCCACAGCAAATCTAATCCGAAAAGATGACATCCAAAAGGTCCTCGAGCACCCAACATGGAATGGTGTAGTTGTGGTTGACGAAGCCTACATCGACTTTGCTCCTGAGGGCTCAAGCCTCGCGGAGTGGGTGGCGGAGTGGCCTAATTTAGTTGTAATGCAGACGCTGAGCAAAGCATTTGGACTTGCGGGCATCAGACTGGGCGCGGCGTTTACGAGTCCTGAAATCGCGCGGCTGTTGAATAGTTTGAAGGCTCCATATAACATCTCCAGTCCCACCAGTGCGTTGGCAAAGGCTGCGCTGGCGACGGAGAATGTTGCACTCATGAATAGGAACAAGAAAAAGATTCTAGCACAGCGGGATAGGCTGATTTCAGAGTTGCCGAAAGTCCCTGGAATTGGAAGGTTTCTAGGCGGCATGGATTCGAATTTCCTGCTCGTTGAGGTTCTTGATAGGCCAGCGGAAGAGGGAGGGAAGCCGTGCAATGATATGGCCCTGACAGTCTATAAGGCTCTTGCCGAGAAGAAAGGTGTTGTTGTCCGGTTTCGAGGGAATGAGGATGGCTGTAAGGGATGTCTAAGGATCACTGTTGGAACGGAAACGGAAGTGTCGAAATTCTTGCGGGAGATACAGGTCGTGTTGTCTGATATCTATGCCACCAAGGGATTAAAATGAAATGGGAGTTACGGTGGATGTAGATTTTGCTAATTATCTCTCTTGCTTTTCCGGCTATAGATATGTAATGGCGATTGCATTCAAGGGAACTCTGTTTTGTTAGACCCCCATATACTCAACACGACAAATCTACGTTCCGATCGTGGTCTTTCATAAGACAGCGAACGTGATGTAAATCACAAGCGGGTATAACGAGGACAATTAAACATATCTGCTCTATATAGCGAATAGTGCACCACCCAGTTAAATTCACATCTCAAACAAGGTAGAAACGTCAAATTTCCAGGTATAATTCCCACCTCACAGAGGCCCAAGAATTTAGCAAACCACGTACTCCAAAGAACGCCTCCAAAATAGTATACAGTGTTAACAGATCTTCAGTGTCGTGCAATTATCGGGCAACGATTTCAAATCTGTGAGACGGGGGAATGATTAGCATGGAGGTCCACAAGAACGATCAGCAATTGACACCAGCGTCAAGAATGGGCAACATACAAGTCGCAAAGGAGTACGCATCGGCGCTCGTCCTCCGCGCAATAGTATCGCAACCGCCTTATTCGGAATCGCCTGAAGTTTGCGATACGCCTCATGAATGTGTCTTGGCTCTATGGGAGTCCTCCCCTCCTCTGGAGGGTCGAAGAGCCCCGTCTCTTGTTTTCGCTTCTTGGTCTTTTCACCATCATCCGAGGCTCCACGGCCTTTCTTACCCCGATCCTCCTGCTCCTTCACCTTCAGCGCCTCTTCCGTCAATGTTTGCACAATTTCGAAAGTGAGGAAGCCAAGAATGTCGACGATGTCATCGTTGGGTCTAAAGTCCGTCACGATTCCAAAACCTGCCCATTCTCGAAACCTCTTTGCTTTGCGAAATGTAAATGAGGCCTGTCGACAATCCGACCAGAAAACATACTCTTCGCGGGTCATATTTTTTGTCCGCTCATCTGCGTTTGCGAGGCGCTGCAGAGTGGCATAATTTTGTTCCTCCTCCTCTTCGTCTTCTTCATCTTCACGCTCAGGAACTTGTACTGAATACAGGTTGTTGAGATCCCAAGGCAAACCAACTTTGGCCCTTTTATTTTTCGGTTTGGCCGCAACATCCGATGGACCCGCAACACCTGCTCCAGCCAAAGGGTCATCTCCGGCCCCAAAATCAGCTGCATCAGCACCACCCTTGTCATCCGAGTCTTTCACATTTTTTCGGACATCTTTCCAGGACAAAAAAGTCTTTAGCCGTGATACTTTAGCTTTGTCGTGGCGAATTAGAAAAATGAGATCATCTGTTGAGATAGAACGAACGCCCCGTCGCGCTGCGAGGGCAGTACTTCTACTAAGCTTAAAATCGGTGAGCTTAATACCTAATAAGAAGAAGTGTGAGGAACAAACACTCACCATTTCAATAACCTGTTGTCGTACAATTTCTTCAATGAGAGTGGTCGTTTCAGCTGACGGTTCCGCCGTCTCACCGGACACAAACATCATCTGGCCCAATATGTTAGTAGATTTTCTTTGACCCATCAAGAAAAGTTTCGTCTTGACTCTGATCTTGGTCCTAGTCCGTGCCCGATTCCTATAAACGTCGTGGCCAACAATGTGTCTAACCAATGTCGGGAAAGTCTCCCAATTTTTGCTAATATGGTCACGGCCGCAATTGAGCGCATTTCCCATGCTTACAAGAAAAAGGAAGTATTATAACTGCCTATTATCAAGCAAATGATTGTAGGCTCAGCTGGAAGTTGGTAGCTCCGCGAACTGCTTGGGTGAAAAATAGACCGGTTTCGGTCATAGAGACGAAATAGCCAGTGAACCGAAATTCCATGGCTCCAATACACCTTACACTATAGCTCTATAATCCGTCCCTTATCCGATCCCTACCCCTAGACTTCTCTGGTAGGTCGCAACGGGGATTCTTCACAGATGATATAGTCATTTAAGCTCGAGGGGCTGTGGCACCGGGCATCCTCTCAGGAATCAACTCCTCGAAACTGGAAGGACTATATCATCCGTGAAACCGGCGGACCAGGCCATATTGGACATTTCACCAAGCCCTCACAGATAGCTAGCACAGAAGGGATCTAAAGTCTTACCTGTTGGATCTCCTGCCGGTACTTGGGTGATCGTTCCGTCATCTTCACAGGTTCGCAAATTTAGTAGTCGGGAGGGGAAGATAACTGATAGAGCAGGGTGTCGATGTCTCTGGGTCATGGCCCCAATGACTGATACTGCAGTACGATAAAATGGTAGATGGGGAAGAGCGTAGAACAACGCAGTGGTTGGGGAACTAACTCACCATGTGGCGTCATGGATCTGATTATCTCAGCAGCTGGCCCCGCTTGATGATCAACGCTAAACAAAAAGCAGATCAATTTCTTTCCTGTTCGGGCACATCAAACAATGTTCCAGAGCTCTGTTGACAATGCTGTATCTGGTCGGGCTCGGTCTGGCAGATGAGACCGATATCACTGTCCGGGGATTAGAGATCGTCAAAAAAGCCGAACGAGTGTATCTTGAAGCTTACACGAGCATCCTACTTGTTGATAAAGAAAAACTAGTGCGTGATGTTTTATCCTTAATAAACAATAGGGGGATGTTTAACGTACTAACACACGCGCGCGATTGGTTAGTAGGAAGCTTTTTATGGGCGTTCTGTCATTGTAGCAGATCGCGAGTTGGTCGAGACCGGAAGCGATGATATACTGCAAGATGCTGATAAAGTAGATGTCGCGTTTCTGGTAGTCGGGGATCCATTTGGGTACAGCCGCACTTCAAAATTGCACTTTCATAAATCTCAAGCTACCGGTGGAGAACTAAAAATACTTATTTCGAACATTAGGGCTACAACGCACACTGACCTCGTTTTGCGAGCCCGCGAACTCGGCATCAAAACGTCAACTATACCAAATGCTTCGATTATCTCTGCGATAGGCTGCACCGGTCTCCAACTTTATAATTTTGGCCAGACCGTTAGTATGGTATTTTTCACAGAGACATGGAAGCCATCTTCTTTCTATGACCGAGTGAAGGAAAACGTTCAATTAGGGTTTCATACCTTGATGCTTCTCGATATCAAAGTTAAAGAACAGTCACTAGAGAATATGGCACGCGGAAGGAAAATATACGAACCACCAAGATACATGACCGTTGCGCAGTGTGCGAGCCAGATGCTGGAAATAGAGGAAGAGAGGAAAGAATGTGTGTATGGTCCGACTAGCCTTGCTATAGGTGCTGCGCGTGTTGGTGCGTCTGACCAACATCTTGCCGTTGGGACTTTGAAAGAGCTATGTGATGTTGATATGGGCAAACCCTTGCACAGTTTGGTTCTACTTGGGAAAAAGACCCATGATCTAGAAAGAGCTTATATTCGGCAGTTTGCCATCAACAAAGCGACATTTGACGAGATTTGGAAAGCTTATTATGGAACGAGTCCATGAACCGCTGATACAAAACCCCCCAGCAGCATAATATAGCCCTCTTCTTTTTAAGATTTTTTTTTTCTTTTAGAATAATGTCAGGAAAAACATCATGCTGTTTTAATTATCGCGAATGTGTCCTCATGTATTTTCTTTTGCACGCCCACCTCGGAACTGAGGTTTGACCAATTCTTACTTTCGTGTGGGACGTTGCCTCCATCATGGGCGATGTGACCCAGGAGTTCATGCCCTTGCCGCAAATGCTTGCAGGCTTCTCCACCAGACTGTGATTCGTTGGATATCTGGCCTAGCGTCTATCTAGCGGATTGATTAGTCTTATCCTTCCCGTGGACGTTTTCAAGGGACATATTATTATTTTGGATTGTTGAGCCCCCAACAAGCCAGGGTGTTGGGGAGGGGGCAACCCTTCCCTCTCATAAAAAACATCGCCAACTCCTCGCCCTAATTGTATTCTGAGCGCAGATCTAATATTGCAACTGGCCGTTCCATTTGTCCTCCGACTAGGTGCTGGGTGCCCTAGCCTTCCTGTTCGTCATGACCCAGAGTTACAGGGTTCCCTGGGTTTATGACCTCGGGATATGGATTTTTGCTCTATGTCTCGATATCTTCTTCCGTGAAATCTGTTCCCGAGGCGCATGGCGCATCCCCAAAAGCGGGCCGGTGATAATTGTCGCTGCCCCTCATGCTAACCAATTCGTCGATTCCGCTGTGCTCATGCGCAACTTGAGGTGCTATGCTGGCCGCCGCATGTCTTTTCTCACTGCAGACAAAACTATGCGTGACCCATATATTGGCACCATGACTCGCCTTATGGGAGCAGTATCTGTGGTCAGGCCTACAGATCTTGTCAAGCCTTCAGAGGGTACGATTTTCCTACCTGATCCAGAAAATGATCCAACTTTGGTCCGCGGGCAAGGAACGAACTTCACCAACACTCGGTTCATGGAGGGGGGTCTAATTGTTCTACCTAGGGTGGGCAAAATGAATATTGAACAGCAGGTAATTGCTGAGATCCTTGGGCCCGAGGAGCTACGGCTCCGAAGACCATTCAAAGACTTTGATAATGATCACCCGCTCTACGATGGATTGCGCAACGGGACCCCGTTTAATGTTGCACCGTTTGTTGACCAAAGTCGGATGTTCGATTCTGTGTATCGTGAACTTTGCGACGGCGGTTGCGTCGGAATCTTCCCCGAAGGAGGAAGCCATGATCGTCCTAATTTACTTCCGTTGAAAGCTGGTGTGGCTCTAATTTCCCTAGGCACTTTAGCACGACAACCTGACTGCGGCCTCTCTATAATCCCCTGCGGCTTGAATTACTTCCATCCAAATAAATTTCGCTCCCGCGCCGTTATAGAGTTTGGTAATCCAGTTCAAGTTCACCCGGATCAAATCGAAGCGTTCAAGATGGGTGGACACCTCAAACGCAATGCTGTGGGGTCACTACTGGAAACAATTAATGACTCACTTGCTGCTGTCACTCAACAAGCTCCTGATCGTGAAACCCTTATGGTCATTCAAGCGACAAGAAGACTGTACAAGCCACTACGTATGAAACTCCCCTTAGCCGTCGTTATTGAACTCAACCGAAATCTTCTGAAAGGCTATACACGATTCAGGGATGAACCCAAGGTCGTCCATTTAAAAAAAGCTGTGTCGGATTATAATGATCGACTGAAGGCCTTAGGTATACGGGATCACCAGGTCGAGTGGGGGGATGTTGAGCAACGGCCGTGGTGGGTAGTATTCGGCATCTTGCTTCTTCGAATCGGTGAATTTCTCGCACTAGCAGTAGGCACTCTTCCGTCAATTGCTTTATTCTGGCCGGTTTTTGTCATTACAAAAATCGTGTCCGTTAAAAAGCAACGTAGTGCGTTAGCAGCCTCCGTTGTTAAGTTAGAAGGACGTGACGTTGTCGGAAGTTGGAAGATTATTGTGGCAATGGGGCTAGCACCAAGTTTGTATACCTTGTATACTGCTATCGCCACTGTTTGGTTGAATTATTGTCGCCATGATGGGTATTACTGTTTTGTTGTGGGTTGGTGGATTGATCCGAGGAACTATATTCCCGACTTCATTCCGCTGTGGTTATTTTCGATATTGTTCTTCGGACTTATGCTTTTAGTCTCCCTCACCGGTCTACGGATTGGCGAGACAGGCGTTGACGTGCTGAAATCTCTACCTCCACTGCTGGTTGCTTTGAACCCAAGATCAGCTTCCTCATTGACTCAATTGCGAGCGGAGCGCCAAGCACTGGCTGCCCAAGTTATAGAGGTAATTGATACCTTCGGTCCTGAAATCCTATCAAATTTCGAATCGGAAAAGCTTGTTCATGAGAATCCTAATGATGATTCCTATACGTCTCGACTAAAAAGCATGCCCCCTAGCCATTCGAGTAGCAGGAGTAGAAGTGAGAGTCGCGGCAGTGTAAAGAGATCCAACAGCTTTGGTTCTTTTCTCCACGATACGTTTTTAAAACCCTTGTCTACGATGACGGATGATAATTTGGATGAGGTGAACAGGCGGATCAGGGACTCCGGACAAAAGAAATCGGAACCGCGCACTAGAGGAGACGGCGATTCAGATGACGATATTGTCGTGGTTGACAGTCTTTCCACCATTGGAACCGGAGAAGCTGAAGATAGGAAATCACGATGACGATATCTATCCGGAAGAGTACATAGGTTTCTAGCTATATGAATCTGCTTGACTCTAAGCCTTACGTTAACGCTTGTCCACGACATATCAAAGAAGAACAACGTGAGAAAGTCTTAAGTTTGTTAATGTTTGGCCACTGGGGCAAAAACGCTCGATCACCACCAGCGTCATACTGGTAGTAGTAGAGGGGCCGAACGGATCCACACTCCCAACAGTGAAGGCCTCAGGGAAGGAGAGGCTACCGCCAATGATGTATATAATTACTCATAATTGTGATGACATTCATGAAATTGCAGTGGACAAAGAGCATATAGCTAGCTACGAACGCCCTACAAATATGAATAATGCTGAATTACCCTTGTATCTAAATTCTCTGTGGAAAATGCGGCAATATGTGCCGACACTTAATTTTTGATTATACCATAAATTTTCCATCAATTAAGATTATCTTCACGGATTCTTCATTATTCATCCTTCTTAGGGCTCTCTGTAAAGCTCTTCATAGAACAATTATCTGAGTGAAATCAACCAACTACTTTAATCTTCAATTTGAATATAGAAACCAGAGCTGTCTTGAGACTTTCTCCACTGAGATTCCTAAGCTCATTCTCAAACAAAAATAGACTCTACTGCTCTATGATTGTATAAAGAACACTGAGTCTAGCTTCTACATATAAAGGCAGGCTTTTGAGTGGCTCTCTTGTAGAACACATGGACAGTCATATGCTACACTCTCACTAATTCCCTAAAGTTCAATTCCGTGGCCATAATATGCCTAACGTTTTATGAAAAATTAATTATTGCCCTAAACCCCATCCTTTTCAGCAGGAGTATATTATTAAAAGTTGGGGACTCTGCATAGATATCTCCCAGATCATGAACCCCGCAATTTAAGGCCCGGGGGGCATCAAGGGAGTCATGTGACCTCACCCATCATCTCCAGCTCTTGTGCAGAAATGTCACACCATTGAGGCGCGCTTGTATTTCAGACATCATGAAAGTTTGAGGACAGTCTTTCGCACCGAGAGACAGGACTGCCATCCCTGACATGACCATTACTTGCTCTCCCTTTGCCGACATGTAGAAACAAGCTTCGCAGACAATTTCCTCAACGAAAATTCGATGAACCTCCTGTCAAAGACATCTGAGCCTCTCCGAAACTCCTTGCTTCGAGTTCTATTTCCCTTAACCAACTCCGTATAAGGATGGTCACATACATCCTCTATGGCTTCCGTTGGAATAGAGCGGCCAACCCCTTAGCTCCAGGCATACGTGCATACATCACCCTCTGCAACATCCTCGACGCCGCTGCCGAATATCTCCAGCATCCGAGCACAACGACAGCAGTACTCAATTCATTCAAACTCATTGACTCTAATATCCTCACTCACCTCCCTGATCTCGAACTTATTGAACAGTACGATCCCGAAGATCTTAGCGCTGATGCCGTGAGCCAGCCATATGCATATGTCGCGGCAAAGACAATGACCATGGGCGCAAAGGCCCTATCCGGTGCGGGCCTAGGATTGAGCTTGCAAGACATCCTACAGCAGGACCCGGGCTTGTCAACTGCTGGGACAGATGTATTTAAAAAGCTTAGGGACGAACTTGCGCCTGATTCGGAGATTGGCTGGTTTGTTGTTTACAATGGAGATCCAGAGCGTCCATATGGAAGTTTCTATGGGGATTCGGCTGTGGAGAGTGATGAGTAGACGTGGGAACGAAGTTTCTGCTGATTCCGCTGTCGGATCCACGATATATTCCTGTTTCTTAGTCTGTTCCGTTACCATGTTCAGACTTAATCAAGGAACCAGGCATGTCCGCGAAAATGTCAAGGGCGGCGTGTGTGCATCTGACAAACTGCAGGTTATTTCTAAATTTGGAAGATAAGCAGAGAATTTCCGGCAGCGGGATGGGATGCTCACCTATCGGATAACTACACTGTAAGGCGGAATATATCAGCGTGTTTTTGGATGTGCTTAAATATGTCAGTCGTATGATAGATTGCTGAGGATGAAGTGTGCTTTCTGTACGGGCGCACGTGTAGTTTGGACGATATCGATTCATGTCTTGGGAGTTTTTGAGAGAATATTTTGTTTCTTGGTGCTTATTCCTAAGAATCGCAGGATATTGTTAAATTACTCCGTACTTAATGTTTGCTTTGCCAGATTTGAAAAGCGGAGAAAGGCGGAGAGTTCTAGCAGAATGACACGGACCACGGAATGTTTTATTTGAAGCTCTCAACAACCCGAGAAAACAACATCTCAATACCTCATACGCCGAACATACATCTCCATGAAGCATTAGCCAAGGAAAGGCTTGGTACCAAGCCATCTATTTTGCGGCATGGTTCTTTCTTTTATTCTTATCCAGAACAGGCAGTATGTAAGCCTTTCAATTTAACAGGAGGTCACCGTTATGTGAAGGACACCACTGACATAGCAAAGAGGCAAAACTCGCCTGGCAAAGTGGTATGCGCCATACAATGTAAGTGATTTCACGATCCATAATGGCCCATATATTGATTTATAACTAACTGATACTAGGACGATGAGAAAGTGAAATTAAAGGGAGAGGTTCGTTTTTATTTTCCCCACACCAACAAATTTGCCGCGTTTACCTCAAACCCAAACCCGAACATCCAGCATAGTATTTCCATATCTGAAATCCTCATTATTCGCAGGTCCACCGCCTCATTGCCCCTCGAGATCAAAAATATCAATCCAATTTCGTCGAGTTCCGTCGCAGCACAAAGATCGTTTATAGGAGATATGCCGGTCTATTCTTCTGTGTCTGTGTCGATGCGAACGACAATGAACTAGCATACTTGGAAGCTATCCACTTTTTCGTGGAGGTCTTAGACCAGTTTTTCGGCAATGTTTGTGAGCTTGATTTGGTTTTCAACTTCTACAAGGTGCGTTTTTCGTTCCGCTCGTTGGTATAGCGCCAAGATTGGCATACACTTCCGCGTTGCGTGTTTGGGACTGTGAGATAGTTCAAGGACCCTTGAACAAAACGGTATGTCGATCTGAATTAGTAAGTTGCTAATTTTTAATTAATTTACATACTTCTAGGTCTATGCTATTCTCGACGAGGTATTTCTCGCTGGCGAGATTGAGGAAACGAGCAAGCAGGTTGTGCTAACAAGATTGGAGCACCTGGATAAGCTTGAATGAATAAATGGGTATATACTTCTTGTTTGCATTTCCCTTACCACCACTGCTTCTGGTTGATGTAATTTCAAAGACTTCGCTTAGAATACCCCGATTTTCGTGTACGTTCTCCACTTGAATCTCTTACTGTCCTCTTACTGTCCTTTTAAATGCAGCGAAAATGACATATATGGTTATAATTCATCTTTTCCTTTTTATCCCGTCCCTTTTATTCCACGTTTTTGTGGCACCGTATTTCCGCCATCCCGATGTGGTCGGGAACTGGCATACAACAAGCTTCTGTAGCCACTACAAGGTCGCCTACTCTGGATCCAAGATTGCCATGAAGATCATGTGGGATTTCAATGACATGACTAACATACAGAGCTGGCGCTTCATATCTCCT